AGAATCTATCCCTTGACTTTAATGGAAGCTGGATCAGGCTCTCTGAGAACGGATGTTCCTATCACTAACATTAAACTTCTGCTCCAGGAAGTATACTTAAACTTTGGACAAAGATTAAAGTGAGGTGACAGGGCGGGGAGAGGGAGAGAGACAGACGTAGGAAATAAATTGCCAAATCTCCTATTTTTAAAAACAGACCAAAGAGCCGTTTCCTGGAAAGTCTGCTCTTATAGATTTATTTCTCAAGTCCAGACAGAAACCTTGGATTATCTAAGCCACGTGTCTATAAATGGGTACTTTCACTAATGCAGAGGTAGTGGAGTAAATATGCCACATATGTGTATTTTGCTTATTCACATCTGTTTTGATGCCAGTGCCTCCCTCTGAAAAAAAAAAAATTCAAAGAGGCTGTGAGGATATATGTACTGTTTCTTTGAATCTATACCCAGAAGACATGCAACGTGAGGAAGTCTGGAGGCAGGCACTCTACAATGAAGAAGAAAAAAGGGACAACTTAGGGATAATGCTGATGTCCTTATCTTAATAAAGCTCCTTATGAAGTGTTGGAGGAAAGCCTTTAGCTCTGTGATTCCTGACTATTGTCACATGACAAAGGGCTAACTCCACTTTCGTTTATTTACAGGACTTCAGACTTTACCAGACACACCAAAATTTCCTTTCTTAATATATATTTCAAGATCCACAGGAAAAAAAGATGAATCCAGACACAGTAACTGACAGAGTGTTACATGGAGTGCCAGGGATAGTACAGATGTTTATATGCACCACACAGAGAGAGAAAAATACCACACACAACACATCCTATGACGTTTCAAGCAGTGGGTTATACCTGGTTAATAAGGCAAGTTTGATTCTGACCAGCCCCAGGATAGAAACGTATTTTATGCCATCTTCAGGACTTTCCAAAAAGCCACATGATTCCTCTACAAAAAGCACTTTTTTGTGGTGGCTGAAAGAACCTCCTTTATCCTCAAAGCTGTTAATCCTCATACCAGTGCCACAAACTGGGAATCTGAGCTCACCTCCATGGCTTCCTTTCTTAGTGCACACACCCACTCTTATCCTTTCATCTCTCACATCTGGATCCCTGGCACATAGCACAAGGGTATGAAAAGTAAGAAAATGGGAACCACATTATCAACTCATGCCAAGACTTTTAACTGACAGATGTCTGCGGCAAACAGACTATCACTATTCTGCGACCTGTCAGAGTAACCAGGAGGCACCACGCCAATCTAATGATTCGCTTCAATTGCTTTGTGTGTTAAAAAGAAAACCGCTAAGGGAGAGTTTTTATCCCTTTAAACAAGAAGGTTTGGGCCTTTTTCCCATAGTAAGGATTCATATTCCCTTTGCAGTTCCCTTCTGTTGGTCCTAACAGTGCCATTATTTCTGCATGCCCTAGGTGTAAGGGCAAAATACTTTTGTTTATAGGATTAACCTTATTATTAAAGGGCTTTTCATCCAGTAGGAATCTGTGTTGCAGATCTAGGATAATTATACCCAAAATGACTCATCAGCCTTCAAACCACAAGGAGGAGAAATCAGCTCGAAAGCGTAAAGGATCCAGTACTGACGGCTAAAAGGCCCTGATTAACAGGCCTGCTTGCAGCACAACACCGACAATTCATTTAGTGGAGAAGTACATTTAGTGGAGAAGGAGCAATGCCCTTTCAGCGCTGGTTTTCAGGGCTTTCTCCAATCCCATGTCGAATGTTTATCCCTCGTCATTTAGGGCCAAGGGAAAAATAATGATGCTGGAGCCTAATAACGCCGAATACGGAGTGTGCGCAATTTCCATCGATTTTGTTGGGCACTGCGGCCACTCGGTAGCTGGCAGAATTGGCCCCTTGGTTATGGCATTGATACTGTATTTCACCCCACGTGCCATTCTAAGTGACAATGGGGAAGAGACCACTATAGGGAAGGGGGAGTGGTTTGAGAAGCGTCTGCATCCTGCCTTTGGAATATACACGGTTTCACTGAATAAGGGATGCTAGTCAGCTGACTCAGATGCGTCCCTGTCAACTTCTGAATGGGGCATGTACTACTGTAGCTTATTAAAAAAAACAAAAACAAATTATCCATAAAGTTCTGTTCCAAGGTGGTATAATTCTCCCCCTTCTCAAGAAACAAGTCACAAACAATGAGACCACAATGCACGTTTTCCATTGGACATCAGAACTGTCGCCTGACATCCATTCCAGACTAACAGGGTCATATTTCTCCTGGTTTAGCCACTCCTATCCTTTTCAACTGGAAAAATATTAAACTGTCCTAAGTGGCCAGAGACTAAGAATATTATTTTCTTAGCTCATTCTAGATTAATGTAAACAGCCAAGGGGAGAAGCAACAGATAGTAACAAAATACTTAATAATTTCCAGCATTTTTATTTCTTTTCAAAGACCATGCTGTGCATTCTTATTACATTTTTCTCCACCACTAAAGGAAATGGCTGTTTCCAAAAATATTCGCCCAGAAACCTGATTCACTTTTATGAGGATCTGTAAAAATAAAGAGAGACTCCAACTTTGTCCGTCAGTTAAATTTAATGTGACACCACTTGTAAAAAAACAGGGGTCACTGTGGCTTGGAAAGGAATCACTGAGACAGCCCAGCTCAAGTCACTTATGGCATGGTCTCTAGAATAAATCAAGGTCTGCAAATAATTTTCTTTTCCCCCTTGAATAGCAGAGGTGTATTTGCTCCCGAGCAGGACAAAGGAGAAATGAGTTTTCACTTCAGTGCATTTTATTTCAGTTTTATTTTAGTCCTTTTAAGAAACTGGGATTAAATAAAAGGGGAAAGAGAACTTAACTGCGGTTGGGGGGAAGTTAACCAGATAAAAGAACATTAGACGTTGCCTTTAAATGACCAAATCTGGCTCCTCCCACATTTGAGTAATCCAATATCATACCAGGAAGCTCACTGGGAACATTCAAGACCTTTCACTTCAAAGAGAGATGCTACTCAGAACAGCAAGATTTCTATACACTGACCGTTATAGATGCATGGAACCTCCTAGTCCATAATGCGCTTTAGATGGACATACCTCCACGCTCCTGATCCAAATCTCCCTGAAGCCAATGAGTAGTCTCCCTAAAAGCACTCCAAAGAATATAGAGACTGACAGTATGTCTAAGCTGCTATGACACTACTGAAATACATCCCTGGCTAGTTGCACTGCAACAGGACTGCAAAAACTTTGTATTCTTTCCATTTAAATTTCTGAAATTGACAAGGATTTAGCAGTCTCCAAATGGCAAAAGAAGGTAGTACAATAGCCACTGATGTACCATCCGAGGAGCTGCCTGCTTTAAAAGAGGATGGTCCCAGAAAATATTCTTTCCTCTATCCAAATATGAAGATGGACATCAGATCCGGTCCCTATCCAGCCAAAGACCATTGCTCCAGGTCATAATCCAATAGATTGCAATGCAATAGAACATCTGGGAGTCACTCTGAGGTGATATTAGTTTTTCCACCACTGAGGTTCTATCTATAGATATTTATCTTTCAATAAAGAAAATATTTTCTATCTCACCTAAGAACTTTTTCTTGCAATTTTTGACAAGTCCCTTGCCTCCTTTTTATAAATAAGTCCTCTTGGGTTAGAACGAAGAACCTTGAAATGACAATAAATTGATCATTATTCTGTTATGGTCTGAATCCCCCACGGCTTGTCTTGGTAACACATAATGTGCCAAATAGTGGTTGGGCTGCCAAAAGAACTTATGCAAACTTCAGAATTAAGGCTGAAGCTAAGACAGGCTGTATTAAATGCTTTTGCTAGTCAGTAACATTGGAATCTCAGTTTGACATTAGCTGCCACCGTTCAGTTGGCCCTAACTGTACTGCAAAACTCCATCATGGTTCCTATCTCACCTTTTAAAATCATCAAAGTGGCTTTGCCCCCAAACCTCCTCTTATTCTTCCTCCCACAGTACTATAAAAGGAAATCTGAAATAAATATTGCTCTTTAGTATTCGCAGACCACAAACCTCTGCAGGTACCCTTTAGAGCCTCAGTAGAGTTAAACTATTGTAAGTTCAAAGAACTTTCAAGGTAGATCCATCAGTATTCATCTAGCCAGCCTATGCATTCCAGAGTTAATAATTGTGAAAGCCAGTATTAAAATTAACCAAAAAAAACTTCTCAAAAAGTAAGTAACAAAATCAAGTACTCAGTCCTCCTTTTCTATAATGCAAAAAAGGTGACACGTGGAGCTGTCGTTGTTTTTGTCCCAACTGTTGCATTTTGTAGTTTCTCCTTTACCAAACCCAGCAACAGTAATTTGGGGGGGGGGGGGGCAATGCAAATCTGAGTTAACAAAAGTACAGGCAGCATACAACAGAGGGCGTCCGCTTTCTAAGTTTCTAAAAGCAAAGTTTGCAAAAGCTTTTTGCACTGAGATCTCTTGCTTTGATCCGGGAGAGAAGCGAACCGATTATTTCTTGACAAAAGTTTGCTCTCTTCCAGCAGAAACTATGCAAAGAAGAGACGTTTACAATTAATTCAAAATATCTGTATAGCGAAACAACAAAAGTCACTAAAAATACATGTTGATTCCTTTTTTTAAGTGTGCCTGGCAACTGGCAGATCTGTTTTAAGAAAAAAAAAAGGATTGTGTTTTAAGTTTTTCCCTTTTATGGGCCCCCTGACAAATGGCATTCACAGGACTTAGGCAGCTAAAACATTTTTTTTTTTTTTTTTGGAATGCATTGGGTAAGAAAAGACAAATGTTTTGCAAAGCACAATAGAAAGCAAACTTTTCTTTTTTGTTACAAGTTTTCTGAAGTCTTCAGTCAGCTCACCCATATATTTGCTCCAGACATAGATGACATGAACATTAGTCAACAGCAATCATGTTTTAACAAGGCTAAGTTAAATAAGGGAGAGAGAGAGAGCTATTTCTGTAGCCTGAAGGCAAACTATTTATTAAGGACACAAAGAACGCATATAAACAAAAGTGTCTTACCTGCTTTGCTTTGAGAAATTGCATAGAGGAGAAATATTGCTATAGTTTTGGTCCTTATCCAACTTCTTCTTTTCCACCTTGTGTGTGTATCCATGGTCCACAATAAAAGGGGGATCAGCTTGGGGGGACTGAGCAAATGCTCACACAACCTTAGGTCTGGGGTAGAAAAATCAAAGGAAAAGGCTCAGACCCCCCCGCCCCCCAGAAGAAGCAACTTTTATAAAGCCATGAGTTGGACGTTTGTGTTTGATTGGTATTAACTAGGATGAGGGTCTGAACTTTCTCTGTTACTGTATTTTTGCTTTGGCTTGTCTTGCTTTCTTGGTATAGCAGGTCCTTCTTCGCTTCCCTTCCGTCTCTCCTCCTCCTCTTGATCTGATTCTTCTCGGGCTCCCCTCTCGAGTGATGTCCCCCTTCCCCTGACTAATCGAGGAGTGGAAACTTTTTTTTCTTCCCTTCTTCTTTTAAAGCAGATGCGAGAGATTGTCAATCGAGATCCAATGCAGCAAATCAGAGTTTAGGAGGCTGCAGAGCTCTGCCCCCTTCCACTGGAGTCCAGGAGAAACGGGGGCTGGGAAGAGGGAAAGAAGTTTTTAAAAGAGAGAGAGAGAGAAATTGAACGTGTGGCATGGGGAGATTTTTCTTCCTCCCGTCCTTTGGCAGCCTTGATTTCTTTCCCTGTCTATCTCCAACCAGATCCGAGAGCTGCACAGGAGGCAGGTCCCAGCGGCAAGTTTGAATATGCAGCCAAAGACAGGAAATCGAGCTGTTGCAAACAAGTTGCTGCTGTACTGGGCTCTTTTGCTAATTTGAATTCAAGGAGTTTACAATCCGAATCTATCAGTGCACTGGAGATGTTGCAGGGTTGCTTTGTTTGTTTTTCATCCCCGGCACCAGGCGTCCAAAGGACCTACAAGAAGCCTAAAGATTTTTTTTAATTCTGGGTTCAGTGTTTCTTGATTCTTTGTGCTTCTTGGGACCCGAGGTAAATAGTGTTGGAGCAAAAAGAAACAAAATTGCAATGGCATAATAAAAAGCAATATTTTCAGATCAGTTGTAAAAGATTGGTTTGCAACAGGTTAACCGGGGAGTGGGTGGAAGGTGAATGGGGATGTTGAATGGAGGAATTAGAGAGAGAAGGTGGCCGAGGTAATATCTTTTATTGGACCAATTTCTGTTGGTGGAAGAGACAAGCTTTCAAGTTTACATGGAGCACTGGCCTGGTAAGCTTGACTCTGTTGCCAACCAGGTTGGCCCAGTAAAAATTAGGACCTTGTCTCTGTAATATCCTGGGCCCAACCGGGCATCAACAACCCTGCAAACAACACACGAGGAAATGGTTATTGCCAACCCAGCGCGGTTATGAGCTGAACAGCTAAGTGAGTGTGTGAAACCTCAGCCACCAAGTTCAGCGTGGCCGGACCCTCGTTGGCAAATGGACTGAGGAAGAAGGAAAACTTTGAAACACCGTTAAAGGCATTAAAGCTTTTACATGCCCTTAGGACTGCACTGATTACAGTTTGCCACTATATCCAACACAGGGCTCCTCCACTCCCACTGCTGGGGGGACCTCGGTTGTGTCTGTGCCCACTGGGTGCAGTCCAATGACCAAACTCCCATTGATTTCAGTGGGGCCAGGATTTCACCCACAGACCCTGGGACTGACCTGTTTGGAGATCTCACCCTTTGGCTCCATGATCTCACTATATCCTATGTCATTCTAAAGCTTCTCAACTGTCCTGGGTCATCATCGCTGGCCAGTTTTATGGTTTTCGTCGTCCTCTGGCAAACCTCCCATCGATTTGCTGGCGTGTGGAGTGGACCCTTCTGTATTGGACTCAAATCTTGCTTCTCTATCTAGGTATTGATATGGTCCCTGACTCTGCAGTAATTATGCAATACTGTTTTGCTGACCTGCAGTTTATAGTCAGAGTTGGTCAACTTGCTGTTGGTAGTGTAGTTCATGCATTTTAGAGCACTCAGCTGGGAGCCAGGACTTCTAGGATCTGTTCCAGATTCATGTGCTCATGGACATGTCACTTAACCTTCGTGCCTCAGTTTACCCATTGGGCACGTTAAGAGGTTTAGCTACTTACTGTTTGTAAAGCTCTTTCCAGCATGAAAGGGGTTGGGCAGTGCCAAGTATTATTAATGGTTCAGATGGTCCCCTCCAGCCCCACAGGCAGAAAACCCACCCAATCTACAGGAGTAAGGAATGGGAAAGTAGTGATTCCCCCCCTCACACACACACCTTAGAGAAAGTGCCTCTACACAGGCTGGATCAGTGGGAAAGGGCTGGCAGGTAGTGAGGTTGATAAGATAGCAGCTCTCTAGGGTATTATCTTCCACTACCAAACACAAATGGATCATGTCAGCATTCATGTATCTGCTTTACCTTTCTACAAGTGACCCCTCCCTAAGCAGCTTCAGGGGAGGAACCGCCAGTGTGACTCACAGGCAATATACTGACTGTCCAGAGGGTTCCTGTGAGAACCATGAGCCAGTGAAGGGAGGTAGGACTTGTGCACACATCCCCTAAGATCATGTGCAGTTTGAGGGATCTCATGGTTTAGGGAGCGTAATCCTATGCACCTGAAGGAATCAGCACTTTCTTGTCCTCTAATTAAGAGAAGCCCTGTGTAGAAGGTGAGATGGTCCATCATTATTGCACTGATAGAAAATAAGCCAGATTTCCCCATTTCAGAAGGATGACCCCTAGCCCACGCAAGGAGTTAGTTACATAAAGGTTCTAGCATCTGGGTTGTTTTTCTTTTGTGGTGGTGGAGGGGGTTATAATATTTTTGGCCAGGTTAAAGCTTAATTTAGACACCCACAGCAGCTGTTTGTCAATTGGGGTCTGTTTTTAGCCTGTGTTACAGCTGGCTTGACTCAAAGCACAAAAAGGTCAAGTGACTTGCCTGAGGTTCCTAAGAGAGTCAATGGCTCATTCCAGATTAGCGGGTGGGACACTTCTGGCTTGCAGTCCTCTGGCCCTAATTATCAGAGTGCTGATTAGACCACACTGCCTCCTTTGAGAGATACTTAAAATCTTAAGAACATAAGAATGGCCGTACTGGGTCAGACCAAAGGTCCATCCAGCCCAGTATCCTGTCTGCTGACAGTGGCCAATGCCAGGTGCCCCCAGAGGGAGTGAACCTAACAGGTAATGATCAAGTGATCTCTCTCCTGCCATCCATCTCCACCCTCTGACAAACAGAGGCTAGGGACACCATTCCTTACCCATACTGGCTAATAGCCATTAATGGACTTAACCTCCATGAATTTATCTAGTTCTCTTTTAAACCCTGTTATAGTCCTAGCCTTTACAACCTCCTCAGGCAAGGAGTTCCACAAGTTGACTGTGTGCTGTGAGAAGAAGAACTTCCTTTTTTTACTTATTACTCTCCTGAAAGGTTTTTAGCCACTAGGGCAGGGAGGTTCTGGAACAGCCTCCCAGTAGGAAGAGTGGGGGCAAAAAACCTCATTTTAAAATGGAGCATGATACATTTATGAATGGCACTATATGATGGGCTTGCACGGCACTGGACTGGCTGACCCCGCAGGTTCCTTCCCATCTTATGGCCCCGCTTCCTTGGAAAGAAAGTGACAAGGCTGAGAATGAGTTTGACACAGAGCTTTTTCCAAAACACTGGGATTTAGTGTTGAGGCCCTGGAGTATTCATTAGGTCAGAGTACCTCTTGCCCCCTTTAATATAAAAATATACACAAATCAGTTACAGCAGTTATTACTGGCAGTAGTAGCCGCCTGCTGTGCATGTCCCTCTGATTGCCAGCAGCTGGGACTGGACAACAGGGCAATAATTGCCCTGTTCTGGGCATTCCCTGTGAAGCGCCAGGCACTGGCTGCTGTCGGAAGACAGGACACTGGGCTAGATGGACCACTGATCTGACCCAGTGGGATCATTCTTATTACAGTAGTGACTAGAGGCCCCCGTCAACACTGGGTGCTGTCCCTATGCTTAGAGAGAGACAGTCCCTATCCCAAACCGCTTACAGTCTAACAGACAAGCCGGACAAAAGGCTGCAACAGAGGCTATGTCCATAGTATAAGCGAGGGGTGTGATTCCTCATGTACACGTACTCCTGCTCGTTCTCATGGTACAACAGCCGCGGAGGCACGGCTGAACTGGGCCAAGTACATATGTATCCGTTTCAGGCTGGTTTGTTCTCGGCACAGCTCAGCCATCCCTCCACTGCCGCGCCCCATGCTACCAAGCAGCCACTCTGCTAGTGATGCTCGCGCTAGCTGGAAGGGAGCTAGCACAAGTATGTACACGAGCAGGGGATTCACACCCCCCGTGCGTAGCGTAGATGTCGCCAGAGAAGCAGGGTGATCGGGGGGATGGTTGGCACCTCTCCTTCGTTGTTGTTGACCGGCTGGGCTAGGTTTTTCCTACATTCCAACCCCCCTTACCCCAATCAAACTGGGGGTGTCCGCACACAAGCTACCTGAGAAACAGGACACTGGGGACAAAGTGGCCCCTGACTTGAACAAAGGATTAGGTGAAACGCGCATTAGCTGAAATCCCTTGATGCATTAGCTCAAAAAAGAGTGAGAAATGCTTTGGACGGAGCCAAGTGTAGGTTTGATAAGATGCCAGTGATACTTCCTCCAAAATTATTCAGATGAAAACCCCTTAATTAATGAGTAGGTGCTGACTGGACAAATTAAGAGAATACTGTTCAGGTACCTAATGGGCGCCTGGAGCTGTTTGTATTTCAGGAGAGGTGTTACATCTACATCCTTAAAAATCCTGGGGGCTTTCAGAGCATTCAGCATACTAGTGCTGTGGCAGCAATAATGGTATCCTATGTTTATATTGCACCTTTCCTTCTGAGATAAAGTGCGTTAGAAATGACAGACAGCCTATACAGGAATTATCTTTCCTCACCGCCAATTTGCAGCTGTCCCTGGGGTGGAGCTCAGGAGCTGTTTCACAGCTCACAGCAACACTCCCCAACAGTATGAGAGGGGTTCAACCCCCTTCTCCCCCTATCACATAGTGATGGTGTGAAGAAGAAAACGAGCAATATGTTAGGGCATTCTCTATGTAACTAGGACACTTAGAAGGGTCAGTGACCCCTGTGGTTGCAAAGGGCCTCCACAGGCAGGATCCTCCTTTCCAGTAACCCCTTTTACCATAATAATAAAACAAAACAATAACTTGATCCACAGTAGAAGCAATGACTGGATAGTTGTTTAATAGAGGCCCCAGCAAACCCTTCAAATCATTGCTGGTTTGAATGATGCTACAGGTGCTGTCTGACTTTGGTCTCTCAATTACTTGAATGCGGGAATCTCATTAGTTCTCTTGTCCCAGATGTGGTTGGCATTTCTGATCATACAAAACAGCTCATTGTTTGGAAACGAGACCTTTTCTGTTTTGCTCCAGCTGCAAATGAAAGTCCCATTAGGGCTTTAATAGTCTCTTTAACAATTGTGTTGAAAATCTGTGCAATTTCAATGGCACACAGCCAGGGGAAGAAAAAATATTTTCTTAAGTATGTTTAAGAACACATCCTAGGGGAATGAAAGAAGAGACACACTTAGAATGGTGCAATACAACAGTGAAATTTACCCAGCATTCCAAGGAATTTCATTGTTGGGTTAAAAAGAACAAGGAGTCCTTGTGGC